TTCAACAGAACCAACCACATTTCCACCCCTCATTACTCCCTACACTTAATATCCCCTAATAATATCCTGACTCTTAACTTAACACAACCACATTTCCACGCCAAATAATATACCGACCTTAACAAAACAACATTTCGACCAATAATCCCGACTCTTAACAACCACATTTCCAAATAATATACACAACCAACGTCATTTCGACACCTAATTATATCCTCTCTTAATAATATTTCCACCTAAAAATGTCCCGACTCTTAACACAACGACATTTCGACACCTAATAATATCCCGACTCTTAACTTAATTCAACCACATTTCCACCTCTAATAATATCCCCGACCTTAACAGAACCACGTTTCGAATCCCGACTCTTAAATTAACCAACCAATTTGCACTCCCGACTAACACAACCACATTTCGAATAATATCCCGACTCTTAATAATACAACCCATATCTCTTAACACAACCACATTTCGACCTTAATAATACCCCGATACCACAACTACATTTCGAATAATATCCCGACTCTTAACGTAACACAACCACATTTCGACCCCTAATAATATCCCGACTCTTAACTTAACACAACCACATTTCCACCCCTAATAACATCCCAACTCTTAACTTAACACAACCACATTTCGACACCTAATCATATCCCGATTGCTAACTTAACACAACCACATTTCCACCCCTCATTATATCCCGACACTTAACACAACCTCATTTCGACCCCTAATAATATCCCGACTCTTAACTTAACACAAGCACATTTCCACGCCAAATAATATACCGACTCTTAACAAAACAACATTTCGACCACTAATAATATCCCGACTCTTAACTTAACACAACCACATTTCCACCCCTAATAATATACCGACTCTTAACACAACGTCATTTCGACACCTAATAATATCCCGACTCTTAACTTAACCACATTTCGGCACCTAAAAATGTCCCGACTCTTAACACAACGACATTTCGACACCTAATAATATCCCGACTCTTAACTTAACTCAACCACATTTCCACCTCTAATAATATCCCCGACTCTTAACAGAACCACGTTTCGACTCCTAATAATATCCCGACTCTTAAATTAACACAACCACATTTGCACCCCTAATAATATCCCGACTCTTAACTTAACACAACCACATTTCCACCTCTAATAATATCCCGACTCTTAACTTAACACAACCACATTTCGACCCCTAATCATATCCCAACTCTTAACACAACCACATTTCGACCCTAATAATACCCCGACTCTTAACACAACTACATTTCGATACCTAATAATATCCCGACTCTTAACGTAACACAACCACATTTCGACCCCTAATAATATCCCGACTCTTAACTTAACACAACCACATTTCCACCCCTAATAACATCCCAACTCTTAACTTAACACAACCACATTTCGACACCTAATCATATCCCGATTGCTAACTTAACACAACCACATTTCCACCCCTCATTATATCCCGACTCTTAACACAAGCTCATTTCGACACCTAATAATATCCCAACTCTTAACTTAACATAACCACATTTCCACCCCTAATAATATACCGACTCTAACAAAACCACATTTCGACCACTAATAATATCCCGACTCTTAACTTAACACAACCACATTCCCACCCCTAATAATATACCGACTCTTAACACAACGACATTTCGACACTTAATAATATCCCGACTCTTAACTTAACCACATTTCCACCTCTAATTATATCCCGACTCTTAACTTAACACAACCACATTTCCACCTTTAATTATATCCCGACTCTTAACACAACCACATTTCGGCACCTAATAATACCCCGACTCTTTATACAACCACATTTCCACCCTTAATTATATCCCGACTCTTAACAAAAACCACATTTCGGCACCTAATAATATCCCGACTCTTAATACAACCACATTTCCACCCCTAATAATATCCCGACTCTTAACTTAACACAACCACATTTCCACCCTTAATTATATCCCGACTCTTAACAAAACCACATTTCCACCTCTAATAATATCCCGACTCTCAACTTAAAACAACCACATTTCGACACCTAATAATATCCTGAATGTTAATTTAGCACAACCACATTTTCACCCCATAATAATCCGACTCCTTACTTAACACAACCACATTTCGATCCCTAATAATATCCCGACTCTTAACACAACCACATTTCGATACCTAATAATATCCCGACTCTTAACTGAACACCACCACATCTCCACCCCTAATAATATACCGACTCTTAACAAAACCACATTTAGACCACTAATAATATCCCGACTCTTAACTTAACACAACCACATTTCCACCCGTAATTATATCCCGACTCTTAACACAACCACATTTCCACCCCTAATTATATCCCGACTCTTAACACAACCACATTTCGACCCCTAATAATATCCCGACTCTTAACACAACCACATTTCCACCCCTAATAATATACCGACTATTAACTTAACACAACCACATTTCCACCTCTAATAATATCCCAACACGTAACTTAACCACATTTCGACACCTAATAATATCCCAACTCGTAACTTAACACAACCACATTTTCACTCCTAATAATATTTCGACTCTTAACTTAACTCAACTGACGTGTATGGGGGGAAAAAAATTCTAATGGCAAGTTTGTGATTTACTATTATGACTGAAGTGCTTAAAATATTCACAGACTTCTATATTTTTTTTTTATAATTGATTATGAATAAATGATTTTAACTTGTCTTAAAGATTTTTTTCACTTCCCCATTTTTAAAGCCTGGGGCATTCTGGGTACGGTGTTCGACCATAATACGAAAATTACCTATGCAATTCTTAGAGGCTCAAATCATATCATTACGCATCCAGCGGCTCTACTCATTATCCGAACTGCATATTTGTTTAATAAAGTTTGATAATAGTTTATTTTTTCGTTCTACTTTCTTATCTTACTTAACACTTTACCTTAATAATAATGACAATAATAATAATGTGCCTCCTTATTGATATGGCAGTCCCTGCAGACTCCAATGTATCTTTGAAGATATTCAAAAAGTTGTCAAAATCCAAGGAGAAAACGAAACCTCAAAAAGGTGCCGCATGGGAACATCAACAATCCCTGTTGTAGTTGGAACCCTAGGATTGGTTGGAAGAGATTCCAGTAGACTGATTGAAGGGGTTCCTGGAAGCCTATGCCTCAAAGAAATACAAAAAAAAAATGTTCTCACAAGTACAGCCCACACTTTACGAATGGTTTTATCTATGTCATTTTTTTTTTTTTCTTTTTTGTCAGTGGAAAGTGCCATGATGCCATTTCTAACCTTAGGTCTCTGGCCGAGACCCGGAGTATACACCAGAAATCAAAGAAAATAAAAACAATAATAATAAAAGAAAAAATTTCATTCTCCCATAATGCAAAATGAAACCAAAAAGGGTTTCCGGTCACGTGTGAATTTTATGACCCCTCCTCCTTCCGAAAGAACATGTTCGCTATCGTTTCACCTCCCAAAGAGCCGTGACAAAGAAGGGGAGATTCGGTTCACTGAGCACCAGGCTGACTTGATGTTGACCATTCTCCAAACATTGGCATTTTTGTGCCTACGTGCGTCAATAATATTGGCGATTTCTTCTCTACTCAAGTTTTCGATTTGTTTATTGCAGTTGTAGGAATCCTTCTACTCGGTTTTTCGTTGAATGCCAAAATTCGGAGTGTTGGGATTCGATGCAATAATATAACATATTATTGAGGGGCTGCGCGTAATTCGACCGTTTAGAATAATCAAACGATTTTCATTGAAAGAATAAAATCCAGTAGAAAAAGACGACGTAGTTTCAACAAATAAACATCAATATAACGACAAGAATACAAGAAGTTGATTATTTATTAGAAAGTAATGTCTTTTTGTTTTGGTTAATAAAGTGCTGGAATAGAATATAAATTGTGTTTGCGTACGTATGTGGGAAACAATGAAATGTTATATGCGTGTTTGTGTGAAAGAGTCAGTGCGTTGTTAATAGTAAAGGGGATACAAGAGATAGTTAGAATTTGGTTCTTACTGTGAACTGTGGTGCCGTATTCTGGAGCGGTCTCTTTGCAGTTCGTCAGCGCTGTTGCTTTTTGCGTGAATGAGGTCGTGAAGTTCAGCAGCGAGAGTGTCGTGGACCTTGGTGACATCTGTGCGTATCCCGTTTGGGACCGGATTTCGTGAGTTTTATACACTTTTTTGTAAGAATATCGACTCCAGAATTTAATTATTTATTTTTTCCTTGTTGGCCCTAAAATGCCACGTGGTATGTCTTCTACTACGTCCGCACGATATTTTGGTGGTATCTACCTAAATCATGATGACTAATGAAACAACCTTTTTGATTTGTATTCTATGGTTTTATTGGTGTGTTTTAAGATCTAAAACTTCATTGGGTGTTATTGGTTTATAACTATTTTATTTGATATTTTAGTGGACTCGACGCTGTCCACCGACATTCAAAACCTGTTAGTGTCATAAAGTTCCAAACGAACCCTCCACAAAATAAGCTTAAAAGCGTGTTTTTTGTTTGTTTGTTTGTTTTTTGTTGTTTGTTTGTTTGTTTGTTTTACCAGGACAGACAAAAGGAACAGTATCTTTTTTTTCTGTTTTTTTTTTACAGTTATTTATGCAAAATTAAATCCCTAAAGATGTCATTTCAGAAAAAAGAAATAAAGCAATATCAAAATACCGAAAATTCTACCGAAATCTAAGATTCCAAAAATATTTTTTGAAGGTTGATGTTTGCATAATTTAGTAAAACATTAAAATCTGATTTCGCGGGAGAAAATGTGCAATGAATATTTTTTTTCAAATGACTTATAATTTTTCAGTAAGATTTTGCAATCCATCCCCTTACTATTCGTAACAGTGTAACCCGGATATAAGAGAGTGTCGGGACCGGAGAATAAGTCTCTTATATCCGGGTTTTTCTTATATCCCGGTTTGGTCTATGTTGTCTAGGTAAGTATGGGAACACTTTGGGACCAGATAAAATCTCTCTTATATCCGGGTTTCTCTTATATCCGGGTCTCTTTTATCCGAGTTACACAGTATTGAATAAAACTATGAGTTTGAATTCATATGCAGAACAAACTGGGATCGGAAGAGTTTTTTTTTTTCTTTTCTTATTTTTGGTAGGGAAGTTCAAAAAGGAAATAATAGTTCTGTGACTGTAATGAATCAGCTGTATCAAATTCCCCCTTTTTTTAGTATAGAAGATTTTTGCTACATTGTTAATCATTGTTAGCCCCATTGACAGACATATATCGGCACAACCCTCCTTCCGTCAACGGTTGTCTCAAACCATTTCTCTCATTCTTTTTTCTTCATCGTCGCCGCTACCCTTTGAGCAACGACCCAACGCTTTCAACGTTAAGGCACTTCGTAACCCTTTTTGAATGGACACCCATTCAAGGTGATTTGACGGTTGGCATTTGCCGCCAGTCAAAGGTCACGTGACTTATAGTATCGCCGCCAATAAGTATCCACGTGCGGACAGGCGATTTGCGGGCATCGAGTCGAGAAGACGCGTTCCCCAATCAATCTCTCTCTCTCTCTCTCTCTCTCTCTCTCTCTCTCTCTCTCTCTCTTTTCACCATACGGCTCAAACACCTAAACTTCGATGATAGACCTTTTATAGTCAACTTCTTTGCTTAAAGCTAATTTCACCATCCTTGACTCGATCTTAGCCCAACCTTACGACTTTCCTACGTAATACGAGATTCTTTATATTTATCTACCGCCTCCTGACAATAATCACAGGCAGCGCGAGAATTGAAAACCTCTTCCTCTTTTCCTTTGACTTTGGCAACAACAAGACATTCTTTTCTCGTTCTGTCGGCATGTAAGGATACAGTATTTTGAGTTTGTGTTTGTTGGTGCGTGTTCGTATGCAAACAATTAAGAAGAAGAAGCATACAAAAACTTGAGTTTCGACCAAGGACCATTCATTCTCTTTATTATAGTAACTGTAATGAAACAAAGTTCTCAATATCTTCCTTATATCCGTTTTCTTTTTTTGGTTCATAAATTATGCTAAGTATAAGCATCATTACAATGGTCGCTCTCAATTCAGCTTTGCGCTGAGTTGGAACAGCCAAAGAGAAAGCTTGACTTACTTCATAGATTGAGGTTTTAGAAGATACGTTTATAAATGAGAAAAGAGTTCAGTCGTCAGTGAGACTATTGCAGATAAGTGGGAATATAATTACATGGTACTACATCTTCGAGCAAAATGGAGAAAGAGAGTAAGGTAGGAAATATTTGCTTTTTGATAGACTTCAACAGCGCCACCTAACGGCGTTTAACAAAACCAGGGGGGGGTAATAATATTTCCGTTTCCTTTACTCTTAGCATCATGGGAAAATGTATTTCTTTTTCTTTTCTTTTTTTTTATTAATCATTATTATTATTTTATTTATCGATTTTTTTTCATTTTCCCACGAGTAGCCGAGCAATACATACTGAAGGTTGCATCGAACTCTTCACAATATTCATTTCTCATTTTCCTTTTTGTAACATGTACGTTTAATATAATTATTAATTTTTGCTTGTTTAAACTCCATGTTTCTGTGACTTATTTTTGATCAGGACTCACATAAATCCGCCAATATTATTTGCGGGTCAAATGTACCAAAAGCCATGAAATATTTACTGCAGAAAAGTTCACACTTCACAACAAATGTGGTGATTCCTGCAACAATGTGAAGGTTGCCACTGGTTACATTCAAAATGAATGCACGCTGAACGAACTCTGTTTGGAAAGGTTTATTTTCTTTTTATGAATACAAATTAAATAATGTTTAACCTTCGTGCCCGAAAAAGAAAACGCTGTACTAAAAGGACGGTTATTTCCTTGACACCGCTATTATTGCATACATTTTTCACTCCCTCGGAAATTTTTATTTACAAGATTATTAAAATATATGAACTGAGTACAATGCAATATTTATTATTTGCCATCTTTTACTCAAAATTTTTTTTTTTTAAATTATCAAAATATGTGTGCGGAACCTATTTTTGTGAATTTATATGGCTAGAGCAAAAAAAAAAATAACAAAAAACAAATGTCTGGAAAATGCATTTTTTCAAAATTTATAACTAGAGTTATTCGTCGATATGTAATTTTTATAAATTTAGGAATAAAAAATATTTTCGTATTTATTGCTATATAAAATAGTAAATAATAATATTTGATTATAGTTAGTTCACATAGTATCCTTCTAATGCGACAAAGTTCGTGGCTCGCGGTACGTTGAACCAGAGAGACGGATTGAGAGACCCTCCTTCTTTGAGCCGGCAGTCGTCCTGATAAGTTCGTGGCTCGCGGTACGTTGAACCAGAGAGACGGATTGAGAAATATCTCCTTCTATGAACCGGCAGTCGTCCTGATAAGTTCGTCGCTCGCGGTACGTTGAACCAGAGAGATGGATTGAGAGAGACCTCCTTCTTGAACCGGCAGTCGTCCTGATCCTGATAAGTTCGTGGATCGCGGTACGTTGAACCAGAGAGGCGGATTGAGAGATACTTCCTTCTATGAGCCAGTAGTCGTCCTGATGGGTTTTTTTCATGGTTACAGTAGATCAGCCTGTCCCACTCTCTGTCGAAAGAATAGAGAGAATTAACATCGAAGACCTCTTATCCTGAGTTTCTGTTTTGATCGACGAGTGCAATAGGATTGTCCTTTGATTTGGTACAGGATCTTTTGTTTAGCTTATCCAAGTATCTGGTTTCAGAAACAGAGTTAGCTAATTAACCAGTCCAGCTGGTGTTAATGTCACTGAGGTGTTAAGGAGATTATAAGTGGTAAATTTAAGAGAAGTTTAGAAATATTTTTATTTATTAAAATTTACCTACAACTACAAGGGCATTAGTCCAAATATAGGTAATGTAAATAATGGTAATGCCTCATCCCAGAAATTCAGTCAAAAATTCATAAAAATTGTTTCCAACGTAAATGTAACACGTTCTCAACTATATGTACATCTTATGAGAAATATTCTCTACATTAATAGTACACATGTTTCTGTGAATGCCTTTGTTGTGGGTGTTTTGGTGATGCGTTGGCCTTGTCTGAATGTATTTCTTTTTATATATGCTTTTGAGAGGCTGGATTAAAAGGTCACCCTCAGACCACAACGGGATTATAATATGACAAACAAAACCCTCTATGAGCTACGACAAAATAAACATAGACAAAAAACAAGATGATTTAGTATGCATTTCAGACAGACGTTTTTCTAGACAATAAGTTCTCTCCCTTTTACGCATTTGATGACATATATCTCCAAATAATATTTGTTCTTACCTTCTTCAGTAGTGGCGTTAAATTTTCCATTGAATTGTACTATTCCTCCAGGACTTGTGAAGATGTCTGTTATGGGACCTTACCCATAATAACATAATGGACTATTCCATACGTAATAAATACTGCGCCTCAAGAGGGAGCAGAGAGTTCAGCCTGAAGTCGGGCGACTGGCTGATCGGTTGAACTCTCTGCCTTCGGGCGGGGAGGAACCAGAACGAGATTACGCCGAATGCGGAGTCTCTTTCGGGGAGGTAAACCGACCCTGAACCCGTTTATACGGGTTCAAAGGGCATATTTTTGGCCGAGCACACGGGCTCGGAGATCTCACGTTAAACCGGCCTTGTGCCACATGATGCACTCGTGTGTGTGTGGGGGGTGACTAAATACAATTCAGCCTGAAGTCGGGCGACAGGCTGATCGGTTGAACTCTCTGCTTTCGGACGGGGAGGAACCCGAACGAGGCTACGCCGAAGGGCGGAGTCTCTTTCGGGGAGGTAAACCGACTCTGAACCCGTTTATACGGCTTCAAAGGGCATATTTTTGGCCGAACACACTGGCTCGGAGATCCCAATTTAAACCGGCCTTGTGCCACATGATGTTTACGTGGCGGGGGGTGACTAAATACTGTTCAGCCTGAAGTCTGGAGTGAGATCTGTCAGAAGTTCGTCAGGAGTCTGTCAGTCAGTCAGAGCGAGCGAGTCAGTCAGTGGAGTCAGAGGCAGACTGAAACAGAGTCGCGTTCAGACAATTACTACTAAACCTGATTGTTCGTACTAACACTTTCTACTTCTCTATATATATTCCTGTTTGTAATATATCTGTGTTATTCCATATCCGTATTCGAGTTCTTCTTTATTGGTTCTACCTTGGACTATCACCGTGGTACAAGGAACCGGACCATAACAATGTCATTTACTGGTTTTAATATAGGTTTTTCTCTCAGATTTTTGTAAGTTTCGGTTGAGATAATGTTTCGAAAATTTTCTTTTCTTTCAGAAAATAAAACCTGCTGCAACAATATTTTCACTATTGCCCGAATTAATAACGAAAGAGAAAGAAAAAAAATGCAAATTAGATTCAATTACAAAGAAAAAAATATTTATTTCTAACCAGGTAAATAAGGGTTCTTGCAAAAATTCATCCTTTTTGCTGAGAATAAGATAACCTATTCTCTGAGTAACACAATGTAAAAAAGTATAGCAGAAAACAAACTTAAAAATTACAATGCACCAAAAAACAAACAAAAAAAAAGAATAGCGCCCACCTGCTGTGTCAATGATAACAATAAAAAAGTGGGGGGGGAGAGCCTTAGCTGTTCAGTCCACTTTCAGTCCTTTCAAAGTTCAAAAGGTTTTTATCTTTTTTCTTTTCTCTCTTGTGTAGACAAAGTTCTCTTCTTGGTGACCAAACTCCCTCCATTCATCACTTATTTTCATCCCGTCCACTGGGAAATTACGCCTTTCTTTTACAACCGCTAGAAGGTGAAAATTTACTTAAACACGCGCAAAAACACTTTTTGAAAACGCACGTTTCTTCTTCTTCTTCTTTTTTTTTTTCTTTTTTTTCAGGGGCTTCTTCGAAAGGACTTGTCAAAACTTTCTCTGGAGGGGAAACTCGCCCTCAGCAACTTTATTACCCATGCATCCTTCACTTATGGGCAAATGCTGCCTGCCTTTTTCAACAGGGAGAGAGAAACAACCTCCTGTCTCTAAGCGGTCTTGTTTCCAACTGCTGCTAAAGTCCAGTCCCAGTTCTCTCTTCCCCTTCAAAGGGGGGGTTCACCTTTGCACCGTCCAATCACAGTCCATTAAAAAATCAGCCGGTTCTTAGGTCCAGTAACACAGAGAGTGTCTTTTGTTCTCCCTTGACCTAAAAATTTTCAAAAATGTTTATATCTGCACCTGTATCGATTTTAAATTTCATCGCTGTGTTACAAATTTTTATAGCAATTGTTTCTCGGTCGGAAAAGTTCATTTTCTTCATTTACATTCTGTATCGTATTAGTTTTAGTTCCTAAGGCTACAGTGAAATTTCTTCCACTTGAGATTTTATTCGTTCACTGTTCCTGGTAAAACGTGTTGCCACCAACAGATAAGCAAAACTTCTTATTTCTCACTTTTACGTTCAACTATCATCCTCATCTTTGTTGCCAAAAAATGTCTCCTGTTGTACGCTCCGGCCTTCTTCAGGTGATTGGAATGTCAAACTAACCCTTTATTTCGCTCACAACAAAAATCTCCTGAGCCGATCAAGCATATAATTAATACAATATGGGAACCAGTAATAAGGAGTGCCAGAGAGAAAAGCAATAACAACAACGAAAATTGCAATATGAGCTCTGGTAAAAAACATGGAATGATAACAGCAAAAATTGCAATATGAACACTGGTATAAAATGGTTGCTGAAGACATTAGGTTTATAATACCCAGATCATACACAGATATCTACAAGGACATGGCACAGTGGACAAAGGCGTTAGTTAGATCCAGTGACAGGGTTCAAAAAGTGTAAGTTCAATACCTGGTTAAGGCGGTGGAGAATTGGAGAGGGGAATTAACAGGAGATAACTGATCACTGACATGCATTAGACATGGCACGTGGAACTAGAATAGTCTAACCCAGCGAGCGAAATAAAGGGTTCAGTTCGACATTCCAACAACCTGAAGAAGGTCGAAGAGTACGGCCGAAACGTTGTGATAAATATGGCGAAAAATGAGGATGTTAGTCCGAACAATGTAAATAGTGTACATAATAACTCATCTCAGAAATATAGACAGATTCTTTATTTCTGTATATATATGTGCGTGTGTGTGTGTGTGTGTGTGTTCTTTCAAATATACAATCATTTCTCTTTCAAATATACAATCATTTCTCAATACAATCATTTCTCTTTCAAATATACAATCATTTCTCAATCATTTCATTTCTCAATCATTTCAATCATTTCTCAATACAATCATTTCTCTTTCAAATATACAATCATTTCTCAATATATTAGGCAGTAAGTATTCATTCAAATAAGTTTGATTAAAAAAGAACCGACAAGGTCTGTTTGTTTAATTTTTATTATATTTTTCCAAATTTCGGATACGGTGATGGGGATTGTGTTCGAAATTGTAATAAACTGTTCGGTCGTCAAAAGGTGAAAAGAGAGAAAGTTTTCTTTTCTTTTTTTAATTGGCGGTAAAATGCTTGCTCTGATGCATCATGGGAGTATTCTATATTTTATATAACTATTTTTTTATAATTTAACTTTTCTTTCTTTATTGTTAATTACCATTCTTATCTGTATTTTAAGTATTTCAACTTTTAATTTTCCTTTTATTATTAACTAGCAGTAGAGCCCGGCTTTGCCCGGGAATGAAACAGTAAGAGATAGATCAAGTATCGACCATCATAAAGATTGAAAAATAAAATTGACAAAGATTATTGTTTAAGGTTGTTTAAGGTTGACGGACACGCATGTCTTAATTAGTTTTTTTTTTTTTTTACGAATTGGTCAAACTCAAACAAAAACATTGTTTTCAATCGTTATGAGTCTACAGATTGAATAGAATTTTATTATAAACAATTGTCTTGTAAATGGAATTTTTAAAGCATTCTGGATGTAAAAATAAAGAAAAAAGTGTGCAAGACAATAAGAAACACTACCTGCCAACAAAAAGTGAATTTTTGTTGAAATCGGTTGAAAAATGTAGGAAATCCGATTCCATGTATAAACGAACACACACACACACACACACACACACACACACACACACACACACACACACACACACACAAACAACCAACCTGGGTTTTATAATAAGTATAACTCGATATTAATAAGTATAACTCGATATGAGTTGTCCCCCTTTCATTAATACCTCTTAATCGTGTTTTCAATTCGTGCAAAAACAATTGTGTTTTTCCCATTTTTGGCGCTGTCAGAACCACCGCAAGGTAATTTTACGTAGTCCTGTGAAGTTTTGTTGAAATCGGTTGAAAAATGTAGGAAATCCGATCCAATATATAAACGTACAGACACACACACACACACACACACAATCTGCGTTTTATAATAAGTAAGATTATTTTGGTTCCAGACTACTATTTAGCCTAGTAATAAGCGTTGGGGTTATTTAGTGATTCATTTGTTACTCACATTACACCTTTATTAGTTTTATATAAATTCCAAATTGAAGATGCCAAAATCAAGCAAGTACGAAAATTTAAATATCTGAAAAGTGATTTAAAAATGGACAAAAAATATGATACCGAACTCCGAAGACGCATTGGAATAACTAAATTTTCGTTAGAAACAAAGAGTACTGAAATGTTACATAGCATCATTCCTCTATGGCAGTGAATGCTGGGTAATCTCCTCACAGGTGAGGAAGAGACTTGAGGCGACAGAAATGGGGTTCTACAGCAGGATACTGAGAATACCATGGACTGAACATATGGGTAGCGGTGAAAGTTTAAGGAAAATAGAAACACAAAGGACACTTATATTTAGAATCAGAAAGAGACATCTGGCATTTCTAGGACACATAATGAGAAAAGAGCGCTTGGAGAATTTAACACTCACATGAACCAAGATAAACAGAGGAAACCAGCGAGATACTTAGCTAACGGGCTTGTGTAAATGAATGAGAAAACAAGAACTGGGAGAGATGGTGAAAAGACAAAACTTACGTATAGGAAGTTGTGGAGAGTCATGATCGCCTACGTTCTGAAGAGACACGGCCCATAACATTTGGGAAAAATAACAAGTGGTTAATGTAAGAGGACGGTGAATATATTATCATTCCATTGAGTAACTATTTTAGAAATTCTTCCCATTATACGTCCTGGGTATGACGATAAACTACATCCACGTCCTGGGTCAGACAATAAACTACGTCCAACAGCAAGGCCTCTGATCAGAAGGTTTTGAGGAGGGTAAAACCACCTCTTAATTGCTGATATTCGCAGGTCCACCCTGACCCAGGGTGGTAGAACTTGTAAGGGTCCCAGCTATGGGCAAAATAGTTAACCCCCAAACTGGGTCAAAACACTATGAAAGTGTAAAAATAGTTTTTAATACCAGAAATACTTTGTAAAAAAAAAATTATTACCAGCAATACATTTTTTTTTTAAATATTACCAGCAATACATTTTTGAAAAAAAAAATATTACCAGCAATACATTTTTGAAAAAAAAATATTACCAGCAATATTTTTTTGAAAAAAATTATAACCAGCAATATATTTTTGACAAAACAAAATATTACAGCAATAAAAATTTTGTTGGCATTAAATAATCCATTATATTATGAGTTATATATACTACGATTGTTAAAATAATTTGGGATTATTTTCTAGCGAACTTTAGCGTCAGCCTTGTGGTACAATGGGTCCCTAGTCGATTGGTTACGACACAAATGTAGTCAAGTGAATTGTAAATGATTTTATCTGGGCCTGAAGTGACTCACCTGTTATGTCTACTGACTGCTTCACCAGTAACATTCGCAAATTCCCTCGTATAATAGGGAAACATCTCTCTTCATACATCGAAAAATCCTTGAGGCGACAATTTAACTGTTGATGGGAATGTAATATAATGGGCAATGATCATCTCTTGGCTAGTCATCTGGGCCTGAAATGCCGGCAGCTTTATGACAACCAGCAGTAAAGAAAAAGGAAATAAATACTTTTGAGATTAAGTGCCACTCGGCTACAAAAGACAGGAAATTGTGAAAAGCCATGATCGTCCACGTCCTGAATGAACAAGGCACATAAAATAATATAAAGAACGAGCTTGTGCAAATGGTTGGCTAAACAGGGATAAGGAGAGATCGCAAAAAGACAAAATTTATTAAAACCTACAAAGGACAGGAAATTGTGGAGAGCCATGATCGCCGACGTCTGAAAGTGATGCGTCACAAAGAAGAAGATAGAAAGAAATCCAAATTTCCTGTCCTTTGTAGGTCTTAATAAATTTGTACTTTTTCTATCTCTCCAAATCCCCGTTCTTCCAACCATTTACATAATATCGTTCTTCCTCTTCTTCTTTGTGACGCGTCACTTTTGGACGTGGGCGATCGTGGCTCTCCACAATTTCCTGTCCTTTGTCGGTCTTAATAAATTTGCACTTTTTCCTCTCTCCAAATCCCTGTTCTTCCAACCATTTACATAATATCTTTCTTCTTCTTCTTTGTGAAACGTCAGTGTAGGACGTGGGCGATCATGGCTCTCCACAATTTCCTGTCTTTTGTAGGTCTTAAATTTGGATTTTAATTAGCAGAGAACCAGTGGAAACCTTTATTCGCGCATTTTATGGATTAGCAGAAGCATGTGAGTTTCCAACGAAAAATGGCCAAATCAGAGACCGTCTTCTTGTGATAGGACTACAAAATAAAGACATCTCCGAAAGATTACAATTAATTCCTGTGTCGGGGTTAGCTCCTCCTTAATTCCCTAATTGACACCAGTAGTTTCTCTCCCTATACTATAAATACTGGGCAACTTCTTGCCTCGTTCTTTTTCCTTCAGGTCTCGAGCTGTATCCCACCTCGCGTGGACGTGTGGTAAATCCTCTTTTTCATTTCTTCATTTCAGCGAACACCGCTACAATGTGAGCTCTCACAAAAGACAGCGTTTCCCAGCTATGAACATTACACACATACACGTACGTACGAACATTCACCAAAATACGAACATTCACCAAAGAACAAACACAAATGTTCACACACACACACACACACACAAGTATTC